TCTCTCTCTCTCTCTCCACACACACACACACACACACACACACACACACACACACACACAAAATAGAAAGTGGGATTGTTTGGGAAGACTAAGGGGATCAGCCAGAGTGGGGAGGGGATAAGAAGGTGTGTGTGTGTGTGTGTGTGTGTGTGTGTGTGTGTGTAAAATCTAACTACATCATCATGAAACCCACTATTATGTATAATTAATATGTGTTTATTAAAAAAGAAAAAACCTAGCTAGGAAGAGGAAGGTCAATTGACGTCCAGGACACCCTTGAGAAACAGATGACCTTTAGGGCTTCAAACAGGGGCAGAACAAACAAGTCATACACAGGGAAGGGCATCAGGCTTTCCACTGTGGTCAGATGGGAAGACAGAGGACATTAACCCCAGAGTTCTCAGTTGGTGTTGAAGCTAATGGTGAGTATTTATGGGGGCACTGAACTAACTCTGTCTGGTATAAATATTTAGGATTTAAAAAAAATATATTAATTTTAGAACCTGCCATGAAAACAAATCAAGACAATGGGAGAAATCGAGTAAGTCAAGAGTCACCAGTGTGGTCTTCTAATTTCAAAGTGGGGATGAGAATGGAAGCCCAAAGAAGCTGGTCCTGGCGTGTTCAGCACTGGTCCACTTAAACATTTCCCGTGTGAGAATAACGGGCCAGGGCTGGAGATGCAGCTCAGCTGGTGGAGCGTGCTTACCACACGCAGAAAGCTCTATGCTCCATCCTTAGCGCAGCATATGCCAAGAGGGGTAGTTCACGCCTGTAATCCTAGCACTCGGGAGGTAGAGGCAGGAAGAGCAAAAGTTCAGTGTCATCCTTAGCTACATAGCGAGTTCCTTGGGTTCTAGTAAAGTTGGGGCACGTAGTGGAGAACATCATAGCAGCCTGGAAGCAAGGAAAGAAAGAGGGGTCAGGGAAGAGACACTCTGCAAATGCAAAGCGACCTACTTTCCCCAGCCAGGCCCTGTCTCTTGAACGCTGTACCTGCTGGAGAGCAAGCCTTCAGCGCCTGAAGCTTTGGATGTTAATGGATATGAGGATAGTATGGTTTGGATATGAGGTGGCCCTCAAAAGACTCATATACTGAAGACTTGGTCCCCAGCTAGTGGAAGCAGCCATTGAGAAATGATTTTTATCCCGAGGGCTCTGACCTCATTAGTGGGTTGATGGGTTCCTAAGTTGACAACATGATTGAGAAGTGGGGTCTGGCCAGAGCAAATGGGTCAGCGATAATGTGCCTGTGATTGATACTTAGTCCCGGCTCCTTCCCGGCTCTGTCTGCTTCCTGGCTATTGTCAGGCAAGCACTTCTTCTGCCGCATGCTTCTGCCGCCCTCACATTCTGCCTCACTACAGGCCCAAAGGGACTGGAGCCAACTGACCGTGAACTACGACCATGAGACACTCCACTGTGCCACTTTGTCACAGCGTGAGAAGATGGCTGATGTGGACATTTAAGATACCAACCATAACATATCCTTAGGACTGCTCAGGAGGCATAGAGTTAAGGGAGCTACAATTTCCGTTCTTCACTTGATTAGCAAAGGTAAGAAGTTGCACATCTATAATATGATACCCAGGGCAGGCGTAAAGCAGTTTAAACAAGGAGATATACTAAAAAACAGACAGATGAAGCAAATGGACATCTATGCAAAAGACAAGGAACCAGGGACTGATGAGATGCTCTTCCAGAAGACCCAGGTTCCACTCCCAGTGGCCATGCGGCAGCTCACTATCATCTGTAACTCTGGTTCTTTGGAGCTGATGTTTTCTTCTGGTCTCTGCAGGCACCTGGGCCTGCAATTGGTGCCCAGACATACATGCCGGCAAATACTCGTGCACATAAAAAAAATTAAAAAAAAAAAAAGGACAAGGAGCCCACAGAAGAGTGGGAAGGAAAAGAAAGATGAAACAATACAATAAAATGCTGGACTCAAGCCTCAGCACAG